ACGTCGAGTATATATTCATCGTCTGGGTCACTAGAATAGTCGAAATAATCGCTTGAATCCATTTGAAAAGAAAAAAAGAAAAAGTTGGGACTTCGCGGACTTGAACCANGTACCTTACGATCTTCAGTCGTACGCTCTCCCAGGTGAGCTAAAGTCCCGCTGATTGGTATAAAATCCTTTATCCCAAGTGCTTTACTTATTCGGTGTATTCAGAAATCATATCATCCTCATTATCCTATTGTGAAAATAACCACGATAAATATTTTAAAACATCATGTAAGCTATCTAAAAATAAGAATTTTAGTCATAAAACTGTAGTTTTGGAACTATACTAAATGACTTTTCAATTTTTAAGTTTATGATCTTAATTTTTTATTCCTCATAAATCCTCACTATAAAAAATGATACCACTATCCCAATAAATCAGAACCAATCGATTTCGATTCACTATTGACTGTGAAATACTGATCATATTTTAACTTTCGAGTTCTGAGAAAAAGAAATATTTGCTGTCTTCTTTCCCAATTATCTTTTTTTCTAAGATCATCATTGGTTGTTTTACAAAAAAGCTCTACTATGGTTTCTTTCAGATTAAATATTAATTAACATACTATTCTTGAACTTTTCTCCAAAATTTTATTGACATATGTTTAGAATATAAAATATTGTTTTGATGTCATTCTCTTTATTCACTCTACATCATTAATTCAAAGAGAAAAAAGTAATTATTCTTGATAACAAATTCAATTCACTTCATTTAGAATTATCGTAAGATTGAATATAAATGACCTAGCAATTGATAGGGCACAATCAAAAACGATGAAATTTTCATCAATGATATCACATCACAATTATATTAAATCTAAATTTCAATATACACAAAAATTTTCGAATTGAACAGAATTAATTCGATTTCATCGTTTTGATTTTATAACTATCAATTTTGAATAAGCATTAAAACTTTTTCAAATATATAATAAATTCAATAAAAAGAATTATCCATTATCACATCATTATTTAATAATAACAAGAACAAAATGATTCGTAACGCATCAAAACGAATTCCAGCAGATGGAAATACAGCAGCCGCAAGCATTGCATATCAACTTAGTGAAACCTCATTCATTTATCCAATTACCCCATCCACCCCGATGGGTGAACTGATGGATGCCTGGATTGCCCAAGGTAGAAAGAACATTTGGGGTAACCCAGTTCGTCTTACCATGATGCAGGCCGAAGGTGGCGTAGCTGGTGCTTTGCATGGTGCCACAGCCACAGGAACAGTTGCTTCTTCATTCACAGCTGCACAAGGTCTCCTACTGATGGTTCCTGATATCTACAAAGTTGTTCATGAATTATGTCCAGCAGTTATTCATGTCGCCTCACGTGCCTTAGCGAATGGAGGAATGTCCATTTTCAACGATCACTCTGATATTTACACGTGCAGAAGCTCCGGTATTCCAATGTTGTGCTCAAGTACAGTTCAAGAAACATATGACCTTGGTGCAATCGCACACTTAACAACTATTAAAATGGGATTGCCATTTATGCACTTCTTTGATGGATTTAGAACATCCCACGAAATCAATACTTATTCAGAAGTTCCTTCAGAAGATCTTATTAAACTCGTTGATCATGAGGGATTAATGAAAATGAGAAAGAGATCAATGAACCCAGAACATCCACAAGTTCGTGGCTCCATTCTTGGATCAGAATACCACTGGCTTTGTGCTGAAAAACCAAACAAATTATATGGTAGTCTTCCATTCGTTGTTGAGGATCTTATGAACCAACTTGGAAAAATCACTGGACGCTACTACAAGCCATTCGAATATGTTGGACATCCAGAAGCCAAAAATGTTACTGTTTTAATGGGTAGTGGCTGTGGTACAATTGAAGAATATGTTAAAGCACATCCAAATGAAAAAATCGGTGTAATTAAAGTTCATTTATACCGTCCATTCAGTGTTGAACATCTTTTAACAGTGCTTCCAAAGACAGTTGAAAAGCTTTGTATTTTGGATAAAGTTCGTGAATTTTCTTCACCAAGAGAACCACTCTTTGAAGATTTCGCTGCAGCTCTTGTTGGAAAAGTTAACCCACAATTCATTGGTGGAAGATATGGAATTGGAAGCAAAGATTTTGCACCAAATCATGCTGAAGCAATTTACAAGAATCTTGCAGCACCACATCCAGTTGACGGCTTCACTGTTGGACTTGCTGGTTCAGAAACAGCACTTCCAATTGGAAAGCAAACTGATGATCTTCCACCAGGAACTAAGCAATGCATGTTCTGGGGTCTTGGTTCAGATGGTACAGTTGGATCAAACAAAGAAGCTATCAAAATCATTGTTGATAACACCAATTTATATGGTCAAGCATATTTCGCTTACTCAGCTCACAAATCAGGTGGTTTAACAGTATCTCATGTAAGATTTGGTGAAAACCCAATCAGTGCTTCATATCTTATTCAACAGGCCGATTACATTGCTTGCCATACTACAGCTTACTGCCAAAAGTTCGATATGCTTAAAAACTTGAAAGAAAATGGTATCTTTGTGTTAAATGCTCCTGAAAACACCAACTTTGATGAATTATTACCACCATCAATGAAGAAGAAGCTTGCCGATATGAATGCTAAATTCTATTATGTTGATGCAACTAAGATTTCTGATGAATGTGGAATGCCTGGTCGAATTAATATGATCATGCAAACAGCCTTCTTCGGTCTTGCAGGAGTTATGCCACAAGAAAAGTGCATCACATTAATGAAGAAGTCAATTGAAAAACAATATATTCGTAAAGGAAGAGAAGTTATCGAAAGCAACTGGAAGATGGTAGATAAAGCTCTTGGAGCCATCAAAGAAGTCAAATATGACAGACAAAAATGGGCTGCATGCACTCCAGAAAAGGTTGAAGAATGCACAGGATATAATAAACTCCTTCAACTCTCCATGCAACAACGTGGTGATGATTTAACTATTGACGAATTTACAGATATTGCAGCTATGCCACCAGGAACATCCAAGTATGAAAAACGTGGAATCGCACTCCGAGTTCCAGAATGGGATTCAAAGAAATGTGTACAATGCAACCAATGTGCATTCTTATGTCCACATGCAGTAATTAGACCATTCCTCTTAACAGATGAAGAAGCTAAAGGAATGGAGACAATTCCTGCTAAAGGTGCTCAATTGAAAGGTCTTAAATTTAGAATCCAAATTTCACCATATGATTGCACAGGATGTGGCGTTTGTAACGCTGTCTGTCCAGTTAAGGCATTATCAATGGTTGATCCAAAGCCTAAGTACGAGCCAGAAAGCAAGAACTGGGAACAATGCAATGCTGCTCCCAATAAAGGACATTTACTTGAACCAAGCAATGTACGCAATTCACAATTTTTGAAACCACTTCTTGAATTTTCTGGAGCTTGTCCAGGCTGTGGTGAACCAGCAATCATCAAATTAATCACTCAACTTTATGGTGATCAGTTATATCTTGCAAATGCTGCAGGATGTTCCGTTGTTTGGGGTTCATCATATCCATGGAATCCATACACAACAAATGAGCATAACCACGGACCAACTTGGGCTTTCTCTCTCTTTGAAGATAATGCAGAATATGGATTTGGTATGCTTCAATCCACAGAATACCGCCGCTTCCTCGCTTTGAATGATATGCAATTATTAATGAAAGAAGACGTCCCAGAATCTCTTAAGAAAGCAATGCAAGAATTAATGGACGTATATAACACTGATGAATCACAAGCAGCTTCACGTAAAGTACAAGCAGAGCTTGCTAAGATTCAAAATCCATCACCACTTGTTAAGGATCTTATTTCACAACAAGATTGTCTTGCTCGTAAGACTGTTTGGATTATGGGTGGAGATGGATGGGCCTATGATATCGACTTTGGTGGTCTTGATCATGTCATGGCATCATCTCAAAATCTTAAATGCATTATTCTTGATACTGAAGTTTACTCCAACACTGGTGGCCAATGTTCTAAGGCTACACAAAGATCAGCAGTTGCAAACTTTGCTGCAGCTGGTTATGCCAAGCAAAAGAAAGATCTTGGTGCAATGCTTATTACATATGGTAATGTTTATGTTGCATCAACATGCGCACTTGCTAATCCAGAGCATGCTCTTAAGTGCATCAGAGAAGCACGTGAATACAATGGTCCAGCATGTGTGATTAACTACACACCATGCATTTCTCACGGTATAAAGAAAGGAATGTCATCACTTCCACAACATGCTAAAGAATTAGTGAAGTCAGGTTATCTCTTGTTATATCGTCATGATCCAAGAAGGAGGCAAGAAGGAAAGAACCCACTTCAACTTGATTCACCAAAACCAGACTATAACATTAACCCATTAATTAGTGATGAAAGCCGCTTTGCATCATTAGCTGATATTTATCCTAAAGAAGCAGAAACTAAGAGACCACAACTTGTTGAAGATTTGAAGAAACGATATGAATACTATGCTCGTATGGCAAAACAATAAAATAGTTGTCCTATACTTTTTAAGTATTTTTTCACCACAATTAGTAAAAATCTAAAGGAATAAAAGAAATTAATCATTGTGATTTTTAGCAGTCTCAGGGATACTCTCTGATTATTTGTGATTTGATTCTCATCATATGAAATTTTTTATCCTTGTTGCAGCATGTCAATAAGCTTCGTCATAACTAATAGGTGTTTTGTATTTGATCAGAAATAGAAATACCAAGGAAAAAATTTGATGTCTCATGTCATCTCTAAGGAAAATATATTTATATTTATATTATTAAATTCTCTTGGTTTCTAAAAACAAATAATATAATCTTATCTGTGCTTCCTTCTATAAACTAGCTCTTTTGAGTAATTAATGATACTTTTTTTTCCATGCATTTCAGAATGCTTTTTAATTTTGGTGTATTTGTTTGGAAAATATATAAATGTTTTTCACAGAATTTACATTTAAATTCGAAAGACATGGTTGACAATAACACAACGATGAGTTTTTCTAATTCTGAAGATATTTCTTTAACATCAGCCAAAAAGTTGTCAAAACATACATATACAGATTCGAGCTGTTTCCAATTGGCTTTATCCAGAATTTGATTAATTAAAGGGTAATTGAAAGGTGATTTTATAAGTTGAGGTAAGATT